TTATTAATCGCCAAAGTGGAATGAACCGCCAACTTATCCAGCACGTTTTTACGCAGCGGATGCCCTTCCAACCGCAACCCATCTCTGGGAAATATCCACACACACACACACACACACACACACACACACTCATACACTACGGACAATTTAGCCTACCCAATTCATCTGTACCGCGTGTCTTTGGACCCGGAGGAAACCCACGCGAACGCAGGGAGAACATGCAAACTTCACACAGAAAAGCCAACTGAGCCGAGGTTCGAACCTGCGACACAGCAACCTTCTTACTGTGAGGCGACAGCACTACCTACTGCTACACTGAGTCGCATTTTTTTGTCTTTGTATTTAACCGAATTATAATTGCAGCACAAAGAAAGAAAAAAACAGAATCAAATGCCACCTAGAGATTAATCAATCTCCCAAATGGAGCAACTTGTTCGGCACATAAATTACAGCAAATTTTTAACCAGACAGTTTTTGTATTATTGCTTAAACTTGAGAAAACATTCTGCTACTGTAAATTAATCTCCAGAGGTTTCCATGACAGTTTACACTCTGGACATGATCAAATTAAGCATTGTTGCGCAGCGGTTTAGGTCATTACATAACATTTACAATAAAGGCCAACATGATCCACTTTCGCATCAGCTAGATGTAAATTCACTCGAGAAAGGCAAACATTGCGACCTGAGGTTTATCATAGAATATGCGGATTTTTGGCCCGTCAAACAGTACAACCAGTGTCTCTATATTTGGAACCTGGGAAAAATAAACCTGAGATTTCAAACGGTGTTTATATATGGACATCTGGTCTAGACAAGAAAACATTTGAAATCCCACAGTCTGCGCTTGGGGGATCCATGAGATTGGCGAGGATTACGCTTTCAAACACTGTCATCCTCTTTCAGAAAATTGGTTTTGTTTGTGCAGATAACATGTCTTTCGGAGCAAATAAAGTTTTGCAAACTATTCCTTGCAATTAAAAAACCTTGAATGGCTTCGATATAGAACCAGAATAAAGAAGTAGTATTTGATCTCTGTAGAAACAATACATTTAGTCCAGTTACCTGATCACTTCAAGGGCCTGACACCTGACACTGTGTAAAGGCCACAGTATCCATCACTAACAGTCACGCTCTCATTTCTAAACATGACTTTCACCCACATTTGAACTAGAAGAACTATATCTTTATTAAAAAAAATAAAAAAAAGTCATGCATCTATATGGCTGGCTGGGTACACTGTAAAAATGCTGAGTTTCACACAATCAATTTGTGTTGAAATATGAATTAAGTAAACTTATTATTTTTTACAAAAGTGAATTGAGCAAAAAACAAATAAGTTGACCAAAAAAAAACTCAAGTATTGTGTTGTTTTAGCTTTTATATATATATATATATATATATATATATATATATATATATATATATATATATATATATATATATATATATATATATATATAATGCAATTTTATACAGTTAGAAAATAAGTTAAAATCAAGATTAGAGAATAAAATTTTATATAGGGTGTTGAACTTGTAAAGGTACTATGCAGAACGATGGTGTATGACAAGTGTGTGATGATGACCATCCCTCATTCACTTTGCACATGAACCGAACTCCGCCGACTCTATCACAAGTTGGCCTGTGACATGAGACAGCAAACTAAACTGCGCTTCTCATGTACAGAGTGAGAGAGAGGGATGGTCTGCTTGATGCTGCACTGCGCTTTCCAGTCAAATTGGTCAAGCAGCAACACCACTTCCATAAACACCTTTTACAGACATGTAAAATACAACTCTCTCAATAATTGCTAATATGGAATATTTATGGCTGTACCTGGTGAGATCATAATTCTCCCAAAAATGCTAATCCTGTCATACTTTAAACTTTATTTTCAATTGAACGCCAAAGAAGATATATTGAAAAATCCTCAGACTTGTTAATCCAAGAAAAACTATGAAAGTCGATGGCTGCTGCTTTCACATATTCTTCAATATATCTACTTTGGTGTTCAACAGAAGAAACACTCGTAGAAATTTTCAAGCTCTGCTAGAATTTGGGTTGAACTATCACTTTCAACTCCTTTTTACATAACACTGATATTACAGTGCATTTGTTTCATGTGCCAAGCAGGGTTCTCTGTGTGTAAATTGTGAATATAATCACCTTTTTATTATTGAAAATACCTTCACCTACAAAATATACCACAGTTATTCATTTACAACCTAGGAAGTCACAAGAGGTGCCATTTATGTTCACACTTCGCAATTAAGCAAATAATACCCTATTCAATTAAATAAACAAAAGTGTTTTGTTCATTACAGATTATATTTAAAGACAAAACATTTATAGAATGCCAATTAAGCAGTCTCAGCTGTATTTCAGTTATTTAATTATGTTTATAATACGAAATCTGGCAAGTCTCACAACAAATTAGAATAAAATGCTACATCTAGTGTCTTGAGTGTCCCTTGTAATGGCTTGATGCTCTGAAATGGCTCTTTGTCATTCATCTCGCTGACTTCAGAGTAGCTCTCTTTTTGATTAAACTATTTATCATGCCGACAAACAACCAGGCAGAATAAATCGGGTTTGTTTGTCTAATCCACTCAGCCACTTAGCAGCCGTGAACACAAAGTGACCTTGCAGGCGGGAAACGCATTATCGACATTACTTGATTTTCAGCATCAGAAAATTCTCTCACACGTCAAACGGCATTTGCTTTCCTTCCAGCGGTTCATTCATTCAATACAGATGCAGATGAGCACTGTGAGCCATCGCCACAGCCCAAAGCAGACCACAACTAGAGGACCCGTTTCCCCTGGTAACCCGCCTTTGTTTGGGTCGGCTGCACTGGTCACTCATCGCGGTCGACAGTGCGGTCCCTCCCCGGGCGAAGGCGACAGCGAGGCCGCGGGGGAAAGGGGGAAGGGGTCGGTTCGGTCCATAAACTTTTAAACAAAACACCAAAAGTACGAACTAACAGTTCTACCCAAGAAATGTATACTGTGATCAATTACAAGTGATTTGACATCACAATAATTTAAACAAAATGATTCCAAAGGGAAAGCCAACACTAGTTTTCCAACGTTATCCATAATAACAACAACTTTGATGAACCGTTTGAACCCCCTTGACTGATGACAGAAATCTAATCAAAACAAAAGCTGAAATAATAATATACACAGATACAAATGTACATAATATGAATCATCTCATAACAAGACGAAAGTGTGACTGGCTATCAACTGCGTGTTAAAACACATGGCTGTAATTTAAAAGCCTGATGGGAGTATTTTGCCGCAGCATGATAGCAGGTTCCCCCAAACCACGAATCCCCAAAGCGGCTTTAGTGGCTGGCCGCAAGGTAGCAAACCGCTGTGCAACAATCAGTCCCCAGTGCTCGCAACAATGCAACTCTTTATATTTACAACAATGCGCCTTTGAAGCATAAGAATGAACGCAGAAACTGCCCATACTGACCTGGCGTTCAGGGGGATCTGGGAGCGGCCATGCCCGTTAGTTGGAGAGTCTCTGAAATAAACTTTTCCCTTTGCAGTCCTCGGCACTCGTGTAAAAAAGATAGTGCTCGGCAGCAACACAAAACACACGATCTGACCGCCTCGCGCTTCCAATCGCAGTCGGTCTCCGTGGGTGAGCGAGTGCGCGTTCGCGTCACTGCGCGCTCCCGCCTGTCCTGTGTGAAGCTCTGTCAGACTGCTGATGCTCCTGTGTTACCGCATCAGGCCCCCTCGTGGGGTTGCAAGGCTCTTGATCCCCCCTCTGCTCAGTGGAAAGCAGGCAGAGGCGTTTGCGTGGTTCTGCATGCATAACTTTGGGTCACTGGACTTTATTATACACTAAACCTTTATTTTATGTTTTCTATTGCATTAAGCAACGTGTATTGCAACAGTACATTAAAAACTTTCAGCAAGCTCCTCTCAATTTGTTGCAAAATCTTTTTATTTGCAGTTTTATCTTGCCATCAATTTTTTTTATTTTCCAAAACTGACAGAAATTGATAGGTATGTGGTAAGAGAATGATTTAAAATTTGGATTTGAGTGTCACCCAGTGGCTGTTTTTGGTACAATGCCTAAACGAAATCTCTGAAGAGCTTTTGTGATATCACTTTTTTAAAATTTGAAACATAACTTGATTATAAATATGACTGTAATTCATTCATTTGCTTTTCAGCTTAGTCCCTTTATTAATCAGGGGTCACTATAGTGGAATGAACCACCAACTTATCCAGCATATGTTTTATGCATCGGATGCCCTTCCAGCCGCAACCCATCACTGGGAAACACCCATAAAAATGCATTGAGTGTGTAAACTAGCGACATTAGGAGATAAGAAATGCAATCCAAAATATTTGTTTCAATGTAGGGCAGTTAAAGGGTTAAAAAGTAATTATATCCAGCACACTTATGAACAATTCTAAAATAGTTTTTGCATGTATGTGAAGTTAAATTTGCTTCATGAATCATTTGAATTTACAACTTAAGTGTACATTGACAAAATGTCCACCAGGGTGAGACATTTGTCAGCTGTAAAATGCTCTTGCTAAAGATTCAAGCATTTCTTAAATAATTATTTTTGCACAGTGTGTTTGAATAAATTAAAAACATACATTTGCCAGTTACCTGAATATTCACCTTGACCATTAGGAATAAACCCCTACAATAATATTTTAATCGCTATTCAGTTATGCTTGTTGTTGGCAAGTCTGACTTCACATAGTTTACTTAAACTGAATTAAAATACTACATTTGAACCTAATTTTGATCAGAGGTATTAAATCAAGGAAAATACGATTTTTTAAATACATATATTTTTATTTGAAATCATTTTAATTACTTTTATTTTAAAATAATAGACAACAGTTCACAACTTCCGTTTCTAAGCGGAGGTAAATGCGCTTGTAGTCCTAATCCGAACCCCTTACCGTTAAAAAATGCACAAAAAAACTACAAAGACCATTCTGCTTTTCAGAAGACGTTTAAAAGGTTGCTGCGCAGTGTGCGGTAAAGGATGGTAAACAGAGGTTCGTTGACTTAAGTAAATGAAAGTACGTTTTTAGCTGGAGGTACATAAAAAAAATCTATTTCAGTATAATTTCTGTTAAAATGACAATAAACAAAATGTGGCTAGCTTAAAGTATATCGCCTCAGCAATGTAAATATAGTATCAAAATATATTTAAGTCGTTTTTATTTGGCATCACCTGCTATGGACCTGTCATTGCGCACTTGCAAAAAGTTTGTCCATTTGGACCTAAAAGGGGCTCCTCCTAGAATTGGTTACTTCATTGAGGTAAAGTTACTGCTTAAACTCCTACGGTCTAAATGTTTGCTTTAAATCTTAATAAAGAATCTTACATGTGAACTCAATGATGTGTCTTCAGTTGATCCAGTTATTTGCTGATCTTGGTGCCAATGGGTTGCTCATTGAATATGAGGATATGTTTCCTTATGAGGGAGAGCTGCAAGTTCTTCAGTCTAAATCTCAGCCTCCATACAGGTGATATGTGTATTTCAATAATATTTGAGTATTTGTTTATTTGTTTGAGATTTTAAATGACAAAATCCCTAATATCCAAACAGCCGAGAGGAGATTGCGTCTATCCAGGATGCTGCCAGTAGCAGAGGGCTGGAGATCATTCCGCTGGTGCAGACGTTTGGACACTTGGAAGTAACTATTAAACTGATATTTGTCATTTACACAGTTGAAGAAATTTCTAGTTCAATATCAAATTGCCATAAATGAAAAACCATTAATGTATAAATATGGAGACACACAGACACAGATTAGTTTCTCTGCTTGCTAAGGCTGCACTAAGCTGCATTTGCTGAATTTATTTTTTGAATGTAATTTATTTCCTTGATTCTATTTATTCATTATATCGGTTATCACTGTCACACTATTTTTCAGAACTCATTAGAATACGATTTACTGATTAATTACTATTGGTGCTCAATAATGGTAATTAATAACAATTCTTTTTTTTTCTGAAATGTATTTTTGAGCCTTATTTTATAATTTTATATTCAGAATTTTAAAAGAGCTGAGGAGTACATACATTATAATTTACAGTACTTTTTATACATGTACATTAAGACTGGAATAATGCCTAATAAACTTTCGAGAAACCAACAGTTTTAACTAAAAACTGACCTGTCTGTCAGGTGTAGAAGAGCCGGAGTCAAATATTCAATTAAAGATATTTTAATAAGGATAGTTTTCATTAGCAGAAGCCAGCTTTAACACTCGCAAAGAGTTTGTAGGCCGTTCTGCTTACAATCTCAAATCATCAGCAATTATACTGTAACATGACGTCACTAACTGCATCACATCTGATTGGTTAAAACACAGATAGACTTTTCCACAGATATCTCCAATCTCCAATATTCCAAACAATATCTCCAATGATTACTTTGGCGTCAAGCATACAAGCGTCAGACAACCAGTAGGCTATTAAGAGCTGACCCCAGACCTGTAAGAATGACCCACCAAAGAATAGAACACACAAACAAAGTACAAACTGTTTTATACTCAAGGCTGTTTCCAATCATTCAAACGTCTAACTCCACATCAAGGTCTTCATGACCTCTAAATAGGCCGGAAGATCCTTTTGGTACAGAAAATTCAATAACAAACATAATTATTCCAGTTTTGACACTGAAGAGGGATGAAACTAGGCATGAGACGATAACCGGTTTCAAGGTTAATCATGGTTTGGAAAAGTCAAGGTTTTAAAACCGCCACAATTTTTTGTTATACCATTCCTAAGGTATATGTAAAAATTTTTATGTGTTATTGAAACTAATGAAGTTAGCAGTCAATGATTTGTGACATGTTCCCCCAATGACATGTTTGCTGTTTCAAAATAGTATATATGTTTCCTAAAATAAAACATATTGTGTTCAATAAGGGTATTATTTCTTTTTTTACCCAGACATTTAAAAAAAAAAGTGTTTTAGAGCAGTAATTACAATAATGTGATACCATGAACTAGTGATATTTTCATCCAAGGTTATCATACCATCAGACACTTATACAGACCCGTGCCTAGATGACACTAAGGTCATCATATAATCTAGGTTCTTAAACATTCAACTTTATTAATAATAATAAAGACATAATAAAAGATATGTGTTACTCCATCCTGCAGCAGACATACATAAAAAAAATTCACTCTATCAAAACAATCAGCTTTGAATCACAGGAATAAATTACTTTTTTAAAATGTATTCAAACTGAAAAAAATTATTTTAAATTTAGTGACCATTTCACAATAATAATGTCTTTACTGTACTTTTGATCAAATGAATGCAGCCTTTGTGAGCAAAACATATATTTATATAGATTTCAAAAATATAAAAATAGTATATTATTATCAGATAGCCAATTGGGGAAAACATTCCTTAAGGAGACTAACAATATGTTTAAAATAATTATTCCAGCCAAACTAAAAGAAATAAGACTTTCTTCAGAATAAAAAATATAGGAAATAATGTGAAAAATTTCATTATTCCTTTAAACATCACTTGGGAGAATTTCACAGAGTGTAATAAAATACATTTGTTTTATAAACCGTATATAAAATATAGATATTCAAACTTTAAATATAATATTCTATTCTAAATATAATAAAATATTCTCTTTAATATGAAAACCTGTTCTTCAGTTTGTCCTGAAACATAAGGTGTTCAGAGATCTGCGGGAGGTGGACTGCTGTCTGGGCACCTTGAACCCAAACTGTGATCGAGGAGTCAAGCTGGTCCAAGAAATGCTAAAGCAAGTCATGAAGCTCCACCCTAATAGTACCAGCTTACACATCGGAGCCGATGAGGTATAATACACTCTTCATCAAAAATACGTGACTCCCAAATAAACTGCTGCTCAGATCTTAAAAAAGATGTTTGGCATCGAAGTTGATGGTCCTGGTTTAACATTTGTCTTGATTAAATAACATGCTGTTCATAGGTGTACATGCTCGGTCTCGGTGATGAATCCAAACAATGGTTAACTGCTCCAGGTCGAAATGTTCACCAGCTGTTCCTCGGTCATGTCCTTAAAGTGGCAAAAAGCATTCAGGAGAGTTTGCCCAATCTTAAATTGATTATGTGGGATGATATGCTCAGATCCATGACTTCTGAAACTATCAAAGGTGAGCAGTTCTTCATTTGGTTGTGTACAATGATGCATTCATTCATCAGTGTCAAATGTAAATTCATATGATTTAAAGGATTGTTTATTCACAAATGCAAATTATATTGCTCTTTTTTATTCTTTGTTCTTTCATTTGTATTTTTTGAATAATTAAATGATAGAATTAAAATTACATTAAATATTTTTTTTAGTAGGCGGTTCTGAACCTTAACCCATATATTGTGTTATAATATGTTGATATATAATTACAAATAGGTACTAGATATAAAACCTCTGGGTATTTACATTTATGCATTTTATTTCATATGATATTGGTGTTTCTAACGGTATGTTCTACTGCTTGAGCTTCACAAAAAAGAGAAATAAATGTGTTGTCAACATTGTTTAAAAAGTAGCATATAACCTTCACAATTTTAAATAAAGTACTGTTTTTTTATGTAAGGGCAAATAACCGCTAACTAACTTTTTGAAATTGATTATATTTATTGTGGTCATCTCCTCAGGTACCCTCCTTGAAAATGTGGTTGTCTCAAGTATGTACAGTGCATCTGGAAAGTATTTATAGCACTTCACTTTTTCCACATATTTTTTATGTTACAGCCTTATTCCAAATCCATTTATTTGCTCAAAATTCTACACACAATACCCCATAATGACAACGTAAAAAAAGATTTTTTGAAATTGTTGCAGATTTATTAAAAATCACATGTATGGACGTATTCACAGCCTTTGCCGTGAAGCTCTAAATTGAGCTCAGGTACATTCTGTTTCCACTCATCAATAATTGGAGATCACCTGTGGTAAATTCAGTTGATTGGACATGATTTGAAAAGGCATACACCTGTCTATATAAGGTCCCAGGGTTGACGGTGCATGTCAATGCACAAACCAAGCATGAAGACAAAGGAATTGTCTGTAGACCTCCAAGACAGGATTGTGTCGAGGCACAAGGTTGGGGAAAGTTACAGAAAATTATTTGCTGCTCTGAAAGTTCCAATGAGCACAGTGGCCTCCATCATCTGTAAGTGGAAGATGTTTGGAACCACCAGACCTCTTCCAGAGCTGGCTGGCCACCTAAGCTAAGAGATCGGGGAGAAGGGCCTTAGTCAGGGAGGTGATCAATAACCCGATGGCCACTCTGTCTGAGCTCCAGCATTCTTCTGTGGAGGGGGGAGAACTTTACAGAAGGACAAAATTCCCAATGACAGGTGTGCCAAGCTTGTGGCAACATATTCAAAAAGACTTGAGGCTGTAATTTCTACCAAATTGCATCAACAAAGTAATGAGCAAAGGCTGTGAATACTTATGTACATGTCATTTTTCAGGTTTTTTATTTTTAATAAATTTGCAACAATTTAAAAAAAACTTTTTTTTCCACATTGTCATTATGGGGTATTGTGTGTAGAATTTAGAGGAAATAAATTAGTTTAATCCATTTTGGAATAAGGCTGTAACATAACAAATGCTATGAATACTTTGCGGATGCACTGTACGCTTTTCCACTCGAGTAACTCACCTATGAAATACATCAAAAGTTCAATGACTTTTGGCAGCTATGGACCCCTTTTTGGCATTAAATTAATAATTTCTCCTGATTTTCTATTTTATGGTGCATATTTAGCTCCTAGCCTGACTGTATTATCCTGTTTACTTGTTTGTATATTTTTCATTATTTCCTACTGTATAGCTGAGACTGTATTTGTATGTGCTGATTTATTAAAATAGACAATGATTAATTAAAAAAAAAATTATAATATTTTTTGGGCACAAAAGTGTTGTAATAATCCCCAGAAATACATTTAGGGTTTTCCGAATAGTATTTCAATGAGTGGCCTGTAAAGTTTCTTTGTCTTTTCTTTTTTCTTTTGGTGATTTGTTTTGAAATGAAGGTCAGTTTAACCTACATCATAAAAGTTGTTCCTATTATTTAAACTGGTAAATGTTTCATTCTGGCATTTTAACAACTGTTTTAATCAATTTGTTAAATGTTCATTTAAATAAGTAGTTTTCCTGATAACAAACTCAGGTTATTGGTGTTTCTAAGACAACCAAAAAAAAACTATCCTTTAAACTGCAGTTGCTTTTAACATGTTTGTGATATTTTCACCTCTTTCCCTTTGATATGCTAAAGGTAACACCCATGCCTTCATTGGCTAAATGCCTCACATAAATATTCCACATCCTTTAAATATAGCTATGGATAAATATATTACTGTATTGCATATTTTAATTCATAACAAAATTGTTTGCATTATACTAACATTAATTCCCATTTATGATCTTGTTCTAGAAAGTGGTCTTGTTGGATTAGTGCAGCCAATGTTGTGGGATTACAGCCCTACTCTGGATGTCAATAATGCTGGTACTGCACGTTTGAAATCACACACTTTTAATGATTTGTTAATGTAAATGCTTGACCATTGGACATGGACTCTTTCCAGTTGCGCTGATGGAGCTATATAAGTCTGCTGGTATGTCACAACAATGGGCCGCCAGCTCTTTTAAAGGCTCGACCACCGTCCACACCTGCGTAACTGGGACTCAGAGACATGTGGACAACCATCTACAGTGGCTCAATGTAGCATCGAATCTGTCAGCTGGCATCAAACTACAGGGAATTGCTCTAACTGGATGGCAAAGGTTTGGGGGTGTTCTAACTCGCGTTAAAATTGCAATCTTCCAATTGGGCAAAAAAATAACTTGTATGGGTTTCTTTTTTGTCTTTAAAGGTATGACCACCTGTCCGTTTTGTGTGAGCTGATGCCTTTGGGTTTGCCCTCTTTGGCATCGTGTTTGCAAACTCTTCAGCACGGTCAGTCTCCTTGATTTAAATATAGATTGCTTTTAAAGACTTAGTTCATCCATAAATGAAAATTCTGTTATTAATTAACCTCATGTCCTACTAATCCTGTGATACGTTCATTTGTCCTTAAACAGAAATGAAGATATTTTAGATTTAATCAGAGATCTCTTTGACCCCTCATAGACAGAAATGGCCCTGAGACCAGGCCTTGGTATGGGCATCCCCAGGTGGAAATAGAAAGCAAAGAAAATATTTAGCCCACTCATCCCAGTCGTTGTAGGATTTAATATGGAGTTGGTCCACCCTTTGCAGCTTTAACAGATTCAACTCTTAAGGGAAGGCTTAGGAAGGCTAGGAGTGTGTTTATTGGAATATTTCACTATTATTCTAGAAGCCAGGCAAGTGAGGTCAGGCACTCATGTTGGAAAAGAAGGACTGGCTTGCAGTTTCCAATCCAATTTATCTTAAAGGTGTTCAGTCGGTTTTTAGTCACGACTCTGGGCAGGCCAGTCAAGTTTCTCCACACCAAACTAGGTCATTTATGTCTTTATGGAAATTGATTTAAACACTGGTGTGTAGTCATGTTGGAGCAGGAAGGGACCATCACCCAAATTTGTCCAAAATGTTTAAGTACAATTTCCCAGCTCTTTCAGACCCTTCATAGACAGAAATGGCCCTGAGACATTTCAAAGAGCTGTTTCAAAGATCCAAAATCTTTGTTAAAAAATTCCATGCGACTTCAGTGGTACAACTGAAATCATTTGAAGCTCTAAGAAGACTTTTGTGTGCCAAACTTTGTTTGCCCTGGTTTGCGTGTTTACTGCTGGCAAAACAATGTTTATTGGATATTACCTTTCATATAGTGTGTATTACAGCTGTTTGTGGATGTTGAATTTAATTAAATAATTGATGAAGCATTGATGCTTTTAGAATTAAATTAAATTAAAACATTCACAAAAGAACTGCACCAATTCTTGAGCACTGTTGTTGGAGGCAAATTCAAGAAGGTTGTATTTCAGAAATCGTATTTGTAGTGAACAACTAATTAATTTTTTTTTTTGGTGAAAAAGTGTAGTGTATAGCTGTGAATTTTAGATTAAAAAAAAATGTTGGATTTAAGGTGTTTATTTTGTTCATTTTAAAAATTTTGTTCCTATCACTAACCAGATTTCCACCCCAACATGCATGAAGCAAATCATTTCAAAGATCTCAAATGCAAATTTAGGTTTGTTTTCATCAAGTTCTTAGAGTGGCTAACTGTAGTATTGGTAACCTAGTAACCAACAGTAATTAAGGCAAGCATAATGGAGACAGCTGATTAGTCACATCACTATGTCAGAGTTTATTTCCACAAATGCATTTCCATCTCTCATTATTCACATTATTTTTTTTGCCCAACATCAAAACATTCTTGTGGAACACTAAAATTCAAACAGTAATTGGCATTGTTTATGCACAGTGCTGGGGGTAACATGTTATAAGTCAGGCGCGTTACGTAATAATACTACTTTTTCAAAGTAACTGTGAGAAAACAGACAGTCGGCTCGCAACTCATCATCATCAGGTCTCTTTTCACAGCAGATGAGTCAGTGTACTGTTCTAGTAACTGAATAACTCAGGATATTGGTTTATTTCAAGTCAGAGGGGGTATCTGGTATGTTAGTACTGAAGACACAGACCATTTCACGACAATTCCATTCAATTAAATGAAATGGTTCGACTGGTTAAAAAACAAACAATTTATTAATGTATCACCCGTCATCACTACAGAAAGTTGGAAACGGAAAGAATGACAGCAAAGACTTGTCTGTCCCTGGAGCGTCACTTGATTCAGTCTCATGCTCTCCACTCCCCTATGACCAACAGCATATAATATAACGCATTACTTTCCATTAAAAAGTAACTATTAACGTAATTAAAGTTATTAAAAGTAATTACTAATGCAATTAGTTACTTTTTTGGGGAATAACTCAATATTGTAGTGCACTATACTTTCAAACGTAACTTTCCCCAACACTGCTTATCCATCATAGTGTGTAATGTGTTGACCAATTACAACGGACTAACGGACTAGACCATGTAACCATTTAGAGAAGAGTACACTCTCGACGAGGAGGGGTTTGTATTTAACCATTTACAGTAAAACACTGTGAGAAAGGTGTTATTGCAATAAATTTTTTTGACCTTGAAAGTTGTAAACCATTAGTAGGGGTACTCTGAAACTAAACCTGGAACCTTTAAAACTGCACAATGCAACATTGGAACAATGCTAAATTGACTTAAGCTATTCTTTCTTCACAGGTAGCTTTACTGAAGAGGTGCAAAAGAAAGTAATTGAGACACTTGGCACTGTGGAAGTAGCAGACACAGAAAGGTACCATATATTTATAATTATGCCCTGAAAGAAAAAAGCATATGAGTTTAAAGCTAAAAAACCTCATGGGTTACTTTTAAAATAGACTCACTTACAGGATATTCTTTGGCCTCTGTGTCCTAGATTATCTCCCAGGACGTCTTCTACCTTTGGTGGGGCGAAACTAGCTGAACTCATAGTAAAGTTGACATCTTCGCTGGAGTCTGCAGAGCTGAGACATTTTCAGAACAACATGTAAGTTTATGGTTTAACTTTTTTAGTGACTTTATTGGTAACTTCTCACTAAACATTTATTCTTGCACAATGTAGGTTTGTGAGAGGCTGGTTTACTTCTTACCATATTCAGAAGAAGACTGTTAACCCACTTATTGCACAACAGATTAAAACACAAGCAAAAATGTAAGTCTTGTATTATAAGTACTTTGTTTTAATTGAAAAATACTAACATATTAAATATAGTTGCCCTTGATGTTGGTTTGATGCATCACAGTCATATTCATGTGTATTTTATCAGGGTCCCTATGACGTAATATAACCTTATTTTTTCTCTGGTCAAACAGGTTTCTTGATGCTGTGGAGATCCAGGTGGTGGAGGTGAGGGCTGAAATGCGTCTGCTTTATTCGGACTCTACGGTCCAGGAATGGATGGATCAACATGTTACCCCAGTTCTGGAGCCGCTGCACAACCTGCTGAGAGACATTGATAGAGTTTTACAGGAAATGGGACTCTGTATTTAATCAATATAATAGAAGCTGGACAAGTTTTGTTTAAAAACTTTCCATCCTGGTTAGATGTTTGCTTAAATGATCATTTAAAGCAGATTTAAACAACTGAGATGGCTTGTTTTTGTGAATTTTAGATATTGTATTGTTTCAAAACAAAAACAAAAATGCTTGTTTGTAATATAAATGTACTGTAACATTAAAGTTGTCACTTATTGTATCCTTTTAAATGATTATCAATCAATATGTGCATGAATTAAATTAAGTTCTGTGCAGTATAAACTATTTTAAACTTTAGTTTCCATTTTTTAACTAATTGTTAAATTAATTAATCCTCCTTATACTTTAGTTTAGTGTTATTCAAATACTACTATAGTATGTATTCATTTTAGTAATATTGCTTTGAATATTTTTGTATAGCTACATAATATTGGCAAAAGTTTTGGGACAGCTGCCTTTAAAGCCACACGAACTTGTAATGATTCAATTCAATTCAAGTTTATTTGTTTAGCACTTTTCACAATAATTAATGTTTCAAAGCAGCTTTACAAAAGATGCACAAATCATTGTATTACAATCAAAATCAGAAAAGTTCAGGTTATTGCTTATCATATCTTTATTAGTTATTGATAACTGTATTATTACTAATAACTTACACTAATGAACTAGTAACTAATGGTTTTTAGCAGTTAAAGGTATTATATGTAACACATACAAGTTTAATGAAGTGCATTTGTGTATTAAGTGTATGTGTTGTCCTTGAAGTCTTCGATGGTTGGCATCATCTCTTCACAGGTCTTGGATATCAAGTGGCAATGCACAGTCTCTAGTGGCCTTGGGATGGGCATCCCCAGGTGGAAATAGAAAGCAAAGAAAATAATACCCAATCATCCCAATCTTAATATAGAGTTGGCCCACCTTCTGCAGCTTTAACACATTCAGCTCTTGAGGAGTTCATGCACTAATGTTGGACTAGAAGGACTAACTTGCAGTTTCCAATCTAATTTATTTCAAAGGTGTTTAATTGGGTTGTGGTCAGGACTCTGGGCTAGCCAATCAATTCCACACCAAACTCGCTCATCCATGTCTTAATGGACCTTGATTTGTACGCTGGCATGTAGTCATGAAGCAGGAAGGAACCATCCCCCAAATTTGACCAAAATGTCTTGGCAATTGCTAAACCCAAACTCTTGTATTTCCAGACAGATGAGTCTGGGTTTAGCAGTTGTGAGGGGAATTGAACCAAGACATATTGGACAAATTTAGGGGATGGTCCCTCCGAGAGTACACCGAATACTTCAAGAGTACAACCCCCAGTCCTGGAAAACATCCATATATAAACTCTGTACACTTTCCAAACATTCATTAACTATGGTCATTTTTTTGTTTATCTAATTAACTTGTGTCTTTGGACTGTGGAGGAACCAGAGCACCTGGAGGAAACCCAGCATGCAAACTTTCTGGTCCAACTGGGAGGTAACAGTGCTACCCACTGAGCCACTGTGCCACTATTCTTTAACTATTCTGGAGGCCACATGATGTTTGGAGCTCTGATAGCTATACCCTACAGAATGTGAGTTGTTGACTACAGCACTCTGTACACCTCAGCATACCATGATGACACCTCTCTGTGATTTATTGTTTGGTACCACCAGTTGCAAATCACAAATGTACTTGCTTGAATGTTTAAATTTATGAACTTCTGAGAAGAACCCATTCTCTTAAAAAGGCCTTTATGCTTTTTAGGTTTAATTTAATTTTTGATTTTTATAAATGTTGAGTGGTTTTTATTTCTTTATGGTTTAAACGTCAAATGTTTCTATTTCTCTTCAAATGTTTATGGTATAAATAAAGGTAATTCCTGTTTTGTTTCAATGACATAAACCATATAAAACTATAAATATTTTTAAAGTCGATGAATTCATATTTTTTATCTTTTTATTTTAATGTTCGTTTAATTATGGTGAGTTTAGGATTTTTAATATGTATGTTTTATTTAAATACAGTTTTATATAAATGTATTGTTGTGTTTTATTTTTAAAATGTAATTAATGTATACTTAATAATTATCCACCAAAATTAGAATTCGCTCAGAAATAACATTTAGAGCATCATTTGTATTCTGGCTTAACGTAACGTTAGTAAACCTTTAGTTTTGTTCGATTTTTCTTTACTATACTTCTCTAATTTTAAATTTAGAAAAAAGAAACATTCATTAGACTCAATTGAACTTGATCCACCGTGCCAAAGCACAATTACATAGACTTTTATTTTGTCACATATGGATTTACTTGACCTGGAAGTGATATGTTGAGTCTCACCCATAATATTTGTAGCTTACATGGGTCGTTTGTATAAACAAAACGGACCAGCGTAGCGTTTTGTGGAATTGTAAAGCTATGCCGCCGCGCGTGAGCGTTAATAACACCCCGCAACGCTTTTGTCGCCGTTATCAGTGCGTGTAAATCGTGCCGTTCAGCGTAAGGGCGCCGTCCGGAGCGCTAAATAAAGGCATTTGGTGTCTGATCGAAACGGAACTTACTGTTTGTGCTGCGAAAATATGGCAGAGTTGCACGTTGAGCCCAACGCGACTGGCATCATCGAGCAGCCGGAGCATTGTGAGATCCGCGGCTCGGTGAGCGTGAGACTGCCCTCGCCCACCCTGGTGATTCCGCCCCGGAGCGGCTTGTCCAGTCCTGGGGTCTCGGGCTCCAGAGCAGTCTTCGGGTTCCCTATGAAGAGTAACCCTACTTCCCCTTCACCCGAAGCCACGGAGAAGCCCGGGTCCCGGTGGGTTCGCTTGAACGTTGGCGGAACCTACTTTGTTACAACCAAACAGACCCTTTGCAGGGATCCCAAATCATTTCTGTATCGATTGTGTCAGGAAGATCCAGATCTGGATTCGGACAAGGTAACGTTAAGGCTCGGTTTACATCACCAAAGCTTGCATTACACCTTAAAATAAATCAGTCCATTTACATTGTGCATAAAATATTAATAAGAAAATGAACTCGACAGATATTGATCGTTTTGCAGCCTAAGATTATACTTAAAGCTCATCTGGACTGGAAGAATGCAGTTACAAGAAATAATGCTAGTTCACCCAAAGTGTTAAATTCTGTTATTTATTGACAAGGTCTGCAATGGCAAAGATATAAGGATATTTCTGTGGAACACAAGATATTTTGAAGAGAACATTGGTAACAAATCTATTTTGGGGATCAAAGATGAAAAGGGCTTTCAAGCATTCAAACAATGAAGATGTAACCGCTTTAAAGGTGCAGTTTACTCAAAAAGGAATAAAAAAAATAAACATACTCATCTTCTAGTGGTAATGTGATATGTTTTACTTCTGGACACGTAATAAAAGTTGTGTTATGCTCATTGAGGTATTATAATGGCATTGATCGGTGCCTGGGTTTTAAAAGCTCCAAAAAGCGTATCGGTATCCACCACCCACCATATAAGTAATCTCTTCCATACAACTACAAGATAATTTACGTTTTTGGTTGAACCATTTCTTCATTTTTTTTTACAATATGCCCTGTTTAATTTGACTTTTCTTATTGTTCTTCAAACATAATGACTATCATACATTTTAAACTTGATTTGGTGGCAGAAGACACCATTAGAGCAGAACAATTGTTATACCAAAATATCTTATTTGTAGCAAGAATCATTTGATTGCATCTAGGCATGAGCCAGTTTAAGATTCTGACGGTATGAAAACCTTGTATAAAAACATCACGGTTGATTAGTGCTCTAAAATATATTCTTTATAAATGTCTGGGTAGAAAACAAAACATTTTCCCCCTTGAACATAATATGTTTTATTTTGAGAAACATTTATAATGTTTTGGAGCAGTAAACATGTCAAACTAAATCATTCAAATCAATTGCTGACTTCTGCTGTCTTCATTAATTTTGAAAACACAGATTACTTCACGACTTAAAACAGCATCTTTGGATAGCTTTTCTGCTGGAGATAATATTGTCCTAAAAAAAAAAAAAAAAAAACGTAAAAAAAAAAAATCCAACATATACCATAGGAACTGTATAACAGAAAATGTTGGTGGTTTTAAAACCTTGACTTTTCCAAACCATGGTATACCTTGAAAAAGGTTATCGTTCCATGTCTAATTGCATCATAAAAGACCTTCTTTTAAGCCACAGTATGTAATTTTGCGCACTAGAGGGTGCGTGTTCACAACAAACAAAGGTGTATTTTGTTGACGCCATGAGTATGGAATCATGGGAGACATCAGGAAATCTTGCAGAAATCATGTTTATAGATGAGCTAAATTATTCAATGCTTATTATCATGATTCATGGTAGTATGACACAGAGTAAGTCTGAAAGCCGTGGAATCGAAACAAGACCACTGAAGCAATTGCTGATGAGAGATGAGTGTGACACGGCTCAAAAACAGCAGAGCTTTTATTATGCTAGATTTAATTGTTACCGTTTTTTCCAGTTATGAACATGTGGGGAAGAAGTAGTGCAACATATTAAAGCGTCTTTGGTGTTTCCAAACCAAAAATCGAGGGTGTATCAGGCCTTGCAAGATTGCTAGCCTGTCCTCCTGGGGTTATTATTATGTTTTCCAGTCAGGCTACCAAAAATGAGTCCAACCTGCCCGTCAAACTATCTTAATAGGAGGAAAAATATAGCTTATTTCAATGCTTTGCATTGTCTAAATAAAGTGTTATTATGTTGTATGTAATTTTCATTCATCGAGGAGCCACTGTCAATATGTGTTTGAACTTGCATGGTGTCAAAAGAACTGGTGCTTAGTTGATAAAAAAACAAAACAATGTTAGGCCTGCCAGGTTTTCACATGATTTTTGGTTAGCAATGTCGCCACAGAAAGAAGGCTGCTGGTTCGAGTTCTGGCTGGAGCAGTTGGCATTCTGTGTGGAGTTCTGTGTGTAGCCTTTGAATTGCTCACCATTATCCAAAGAAATGTGGTATAAGTTAATTGGATGAACTAAATTGCCCATAGTGTATGAGTGCGTGTGTGAATGTGAGGGTGTATAGGTGTTTTCCAGTACTGGGTTGCGGCTAAATGGGCATCCGCTGCGTAAAACTTATGCCGGAATAGCTGGTGGTTCATTCCGCTGTGGTGACCCTTGATCAATAAAGGACTAGGCCAAGGGAAAACGAATGTAATTAGGTTATTTTCAATGTATGTGAATCTTTTTTTATTTAGTAAATAATATATTTTCTGTTCTGGCTACTTGAATTTATTTCGCGCTACCAGAAACTGAATAGTGACTGCCCTAAAGGCTAGCAGGGATTTAGAAATTTTGTGAGCCCTGTGTATGATGTCATTAGCATCAATACAAACAGGACACAGTCTCAGTCACTAGTTAAAATTTCTTATTTCTCTGATTTTTAACAATCTTCTAAACATTTGTGACAATGTATATTATCAGCACAATAAAACTCTGTTCTAGTGAACATTTTCTGATTTATTTATTTTGTCAGAAAGACATGTTTAATACAGCAAAACTTTGTGATTTTTGTATCAAACTATTTTAATTTATAAGTACAGGTTAGATGAAGTATGTTAGTTCATGATCCAAAACCACCTTGACTGCCAAAGGATGGTGATCTGGTAACTGGCTTTTGCTCTTTAACCAGCAAGCATCAACTAATGATCGTTTTAGACCATCTAGAAGCATATTAATATGTTTAAGAACCAGCTTGGCTGTCTTAACCTGGTGGCATTTGATAAATATCCAAGATAATCCAACAATTTGTACAATTATGGAAGACCATTTAACTTGACAAATTGTGCCAGAGAGTTCAAAATAATTGCTGAGTATTTGAAGTAGGGCTTGGCGATATGCAATCTCAATAATTATTTTCTATATTGAACGCTAACAATATATATTTCAATATTAGTTATTAATATTTCCGGATTTAAAAAAGTACCCCAACAATGACTGAACTCAAATTCCCAATCACTGTACACCTCTAATCCCAGCACGTTTCTGCTAAGATTGGCTAAAATAGAGTAAAAAGTCCAAAGCTTATAAATGTTATAGACAAATTTTATCGCGATTTTATATAATTTAGTTTATTAACCCAGCCCAAATTTGAAGCTGATTTGTAGCTTCCTGGAAATACAGACTACATTTCTGTTGTTGTTATTAGCGAATTCAACTCTTATCTAATAAGATTTTTAATTGACTTCCACTGAAAGGTTTATATATTGTGTAATTAGCATGTTTTTATATTGTATTGTGTTTGATTATATTATGTACAGATCTGTTTGAAATAAAAAAGCCATTTCAGAATGTCATCAGCTGTCATTTTGTGACTGTTACTTATGTCTAGTATTGGTTCAGGCACCATTTAGGTTGCTTTTTTGCATGGCATAAAGTGTTAGTCACAGTTCAACAGAGGATTTCCTCTCCACGGTCTAATGTAAATTTAGCAACAACAGTTTAGAGGTTGAAATCATGAGAGCATCTAATTTGGAAGGAAAAACTCCTCTAATTTGCTCCTAAATCATTCTGCATTCAATTCTGGAGAATGCTAAAGCTCACAAATTGGGTTCTAGAAAGTGTCACTCACTTTGCAATAATTAGATGCTATTTTACCTGCTGCTTGAGTTGAGGAATTTCTGTGCATTTCAGTTGAATCCAAAATTGCTTCACAGATTGATTAATTGTCTTTTCTTCCAGGATGAGACAGGAGCATATTTGATTGACAGAGATCCCACATATTTCGGGCCCATCCTGAACTACTTGAGGCATGGAAAGTTGATCATCAACAAGAACCTCGCCGAGGAGGGTGAGATGATGTGGGCATGCTGCCCTCAAAAACTTTATAATGGAAGAGTAACGACCTACTTTCATTTAGAAACATCTTTTTGTGTGTGTGTGTGCGCGTGTGCGCGTGCGTGCGTGCGTGTGTGTGTGTGTGTGTGTGTGTGCGTGCGTGCGTGCGTGCCTGCCTGCGTGCGTGTGTGTGTAAAGGGACCAGTGTGTACTCGTGTAAGAGATAATTTCTTACAGGACTAAGGGATATTGGCCTGTCTCAAAAATAATTTTTACATGTGCAATATATTGTCACAGGAGTATACTATTAAAGGGATTGTTCACCCAAAAATAAAAATGCTGTCATCATTTACTCATCCCTTTACTTGATTGAAACCTTTATGAGTTTCTTTCTTCTGTTAAACAAAAAGAAAATATTTTAAAACCATTGACTTCTGTAATGTTTTTTCTACAAAGGAAGTCAATGATTACAGCTTTCTTCAAAATATTTTCTGTTAGCCTCATAAAGGTTTATAATAGGGATGGGAAGATTCATCGATATGTATCGATACGCGGTCATGCGCGTGCACGATGCGAGTGTATCGGTTGAGCAGCAGAGGACGAATGAAATTTTGGAAGCAAATCGAGATGCATCGGTTTTTGCGAGATGCATCGATTTTTCCGAGATACAGCTTATATTTTTAATATAGAATGTATTTTTTATTTATTAACAAGTGTTGTCAACCTGTTTTTGGCGCATAATTTAATCGACCTACATAAAGTAAGCCTTAGCAACGGATTTGCGGATGTGTACACTCACACTACAACTCAGTGTATCAGGTGTGCGGATGAAGCTAGTGGAGCGCCCTCAGAAAGCGCGAGAAGCAAAACAAACATTTTATTCCTCACTGAGTTTTAAATCTAAAGTATGGCAAGCAACATTATGGATTTAAGGATGGACGACATGACAGGACAGATGCAATTTGCAAAATGTGCCGCTTATCTGTAAAATACGCGGGCAGTACGACTAATCTGAAATCTCACTTGAAGCGGCGCCACGGTGTTGTTGTGAAAGCATCTTCCAGTGTTCCTGCATCCCCGGCTTTCGCACTGCTTCAATCAGCTCCAAAAGTGGTGAGAAAAGCATTGCAAGTTTTTTTCCGTGCGCAACAGTTTTGTGTGCTCTATGCCAATAACGGATGTTATTGCATTGTTCATCTGCAAAGATATTCAGCCTAGTGTCACGGAGAACGAAGGTTTTAAACACCTCCTCCTGTTAATTTTTATTTAATAATAATAATATTAATAATAATAATGATAAAAATAATGGGTGTCACGGTGGCACAGTGGGTAGTTTGACCACCTCACAGCAAGAAGATTGCTGGTTTGTTATATTTTTATTAGCCTGTTGTTTACAGTGATAGTGATGTTTCAAAGCAGCATAACACTGCTAGTTCACAACCTTAAGTTTTGAATATTCAGTGGCAAAATATCTTTGTAAAACTTGTTTTCATAGTTGAAAAGTTAAATCACAATTCTTGTTGTGCAATGGTAAACCTTTATGTTGAAAGAGTGCAAATATATATATATTTTTAATATATATTGCACTTATACATTCTGTTTATCTTGAAAATACTTAAATAATATGTGCTATAGGTTCTAAAATGGCCCTCTACTGTAAACTGACACTCTGGCTCTGAGAGAAGAGCCAGTTTGTAAAAAAAAGTCTTGGTTTTGCTTGGTTAATAAATAATCAAACTCATTCAATGGCACAGCATCCTCTTTCACATCATCTCATAAACTTGATCTAATAAGTTAGTGCTGAAATATCGCATCGTATCGTGATATGGGTGTGAATCGTATCGTGTTGCATCGCAATATGTCACAAATGTATCGCTAATATATCGGATCGTATTCTTTGTATCGAGATGCGTATCGGATCGGCATTATAGCTTAGATGCCCAACCCTAGTTTATAACCACTTGAGGGCGAGTAAATAAAGATTTTTTTTGTCAACTTTTTTTAGGACCTGTAAATTTCAAAGAATCTTTCAATTTCTAAAAAATTTTTTGATTTTTTTTTTAAAGGTTTTTGCACACTGAAGTCTGAAATTTTTGTATGCGTTTTTTTCATATTCAAATGCTAAAAAATAGTCACGCAAACAAACCTTGCACACTGAGTTCAATGCATATTAATTAATCCATTACGAAAAAACGCAAAACATTTCGGAGTCAATTCAAGCAGTGATACTTTGTTGTCTCTTCTCCAAAGTAGAAGAAGAAAGAGGAAGATGCTAGATATTGTGTTCATCCAGTACAACCTACAGAGGAAGGAGAATTCAGCTCGTTATCAAAGAGCTAAGCTATGATTATCCTAAAATGCAATGTTTATTTTAGGAAATCAGTGAAATCTGATACATTGCTTGTGATACTTCACACTTTCACGGATGTAAACAAATCCTGAACAGAGACTGGCTGTACCTATAGACCAGGGGTGTCCAAACTCGGTTCTGGAGGGCCAGTGTCCTGCATATTTTAGTTCCAACTCCAATTAAACAAACCTGAAGTAGCTAATCAAGTTTGATCTAGGTATACAAGAAACTTCCAGGGAGGTGTGTTAAAGGAAGTTGGAGCTAAACTATGCAGGACACTGGCCCTCCAGGACCGAGTATGGACACCCCTGCTATAGACATAATAATAGATGGTTGATGTGTCAAATCAACAGACTGAAAGCAGACCATACTTTTTGTTATAATGTTTATGGGCAGTACATCAAATGTATGGACACATACACACCAAGCAGCAGCAGGGGAGAGGTGCGCCAGTCACTGAATCCAGCATATAAGGGTCTCAACTGTCCGCTGCATTCGGTTTTATATTATGCACTGTGTTTTTCATAAAGTTATCTGTAGCTCAACAGTATTCTGTATTTATCTTTTAAAAACAGAAAAAAATCTGACCTGGTTCAATTTTTTTTATGATAGACGTAAGTTTCAGAGGCAGCGTGTAAATATGATTGACACAAAATGAGGTAGAATCTATTTTTTTATGTGGAAAATTATGGACGGAAATTTCGGATTCATGGTGCAATAACCTTTAAATTGTTCTTTGCTTTAGGAAAAAAAAAAAAACTTTTCACTGAAAGTTTCTCTGTGGAACCCTAATTGGTGCCCCAATGTCATCACTGCAAACTTGTTTTAATTCATTTTTTAAAAAGAGTAATGTTTCTGTGTTTTTTTTTTTGTTACACTAGGATAGGAGTGGCCACTACCTTGTATACTTTAGCTTCTACCCTAATTAAGCTCACTTAAACCTGCCAATCTAGGTCTTTCTAGGCATACTAGAAAAATCCGGACTGGTGTGTTGAAGCAGGTTGGAGCTTAACTTAACCTAACATAACCTGAATCTGATTGAGCATGCATTTCACTTGCTGAAGACAAAACAGAAGGAAAAATACCCCAAGAACAAGTAGGAACTGAAGATAGTTGCAGAAGAGGCCTAGCAGAGCATCACCAGGGATAAAACCCAGTGTCCGGTGATGTTTATGCCTTCCAGACTTCATGTTGGAAATTACTGCAAAGAATTTGCAACCAAGTATTAAAAAAGTGAACGTTTGATTTATGATTATTATGCTAACCCTTTACTTTTGGTCCCTTAACAAGTGGGAGGCACATATGCAAACTGTTGTAATTCCTACACCGTTCATCTGATTTGAAAGTAAAAACCCTCAAATTAAAACTGACAGTTTTGCAGTTAAAGCACAAATTGTTTGTTTAATTTCAAATTCCTTTTGTTGGTGTATAGAGCCACAATGTTAGAATTGTGTTGATGTCCTAATATTTATGGCCTGACTGTATATTTTCCGTGGTGAAGGACTGCTCAAGAGGCCTTTTGACCAATCACTGACCAACTATGGATGTTTTGAAAGTCCTTTTTGCAACTAAGAAATTAAAATACAATGTTGTAGATGTTAGTTTCAGTTGGTTGGTGTTAAGGACAATTCCTGATTAGTATAAATAATGTATAAAACTGATTTAAGCATCTAAAGCTTGCAGTTTGTCACTTCTGCCTATATAAATCAAGTTTTTTTTCATGTCACCTCATACTTCAATTTCTCATCAAATCTTGACTAATCAAATGCTCTCTAGTATCTGACATACCCCGCCCCCTTCAAGATGCTTCTCATTTAATGTGCTTTATCATCCACTCTCAGTGGCATGTTTTTTAAAAGGGGAGGTGCTACATGGTCCCATCCTCTCTTTATTTTTCAGTTAAAATTTTGTCAGACATGCTGTTAACTATCCCTTTTGTATGACCTCCATTGGCTCCCAGTTGCATACCACATTAAATTCAAAATTCTCTTCCTTGCATTTAGATCCATAAATAGCCTAGCTCCCTCCTATCTCTGCAACATGCTTGTCCCCTACACCCCAACTCGTTCATTACGTTCCACTGACTCTGGCCTTCTCGCTGTCCCTCGGTACCGCCTCTATTAAATGGTGGGCAGATCATTTAGTGTTATTGCACCCAAACTCTGGAACTCTCTACCACGCTCAATCCGTTCTGCTAATAATATCTCTGAAGTTAAATCCTTACTTAAAACTCACTTATTTTCAGAATAATACACTTCTGATCTGCCAGGCTGACCACTTTATCTGATCCACCTGCACTCCGCTCATTAGTCTCTTAGGTCTTGTTTTTGTAATTCCAGTTTGCTATATTTAACTTCCTGTATGTTTGTGTATCTTTTATCTGCCTGTACCATCTTTTTGTCACATTTTTTGTAAAGTGTCCCTGAGCTCTGGAGAGGCACTATATAAATAAATTATTATTATTATTATCATTATTAATATTATTAATATTATTATTATTTTAGACTGTTTATTTAGACTAATTTCCTGCCAATAGTCTAGTGGTTATGTGTGCCAACATATAGCACTGAGGTTCTCACGGTGACCTGAGTTTGATTTCTGGTTCGAGCCCCTTTGCCAATCCTGTTCCCCTTTTCTCTGCTCCCCACACTTACCTTTGTCAACTCTACTGTGTTATTTCCAGATGCTTATTTTTGATTACAAAGCAGTTGGTGCAAGATGGATGTTCTTAGATTTTTTTTCCCCTTGCAGGTGTTTTAGAGGAAGCCGAGTTTTACAACATTGCATCACTCGTGAGGCTTGTGAAGGAGAGAATACGAGACAATGAAAACAGAACGTCTCAGGTATGTGGGAAAAACAACACATGGAGGAACAAGATGGCTTGTGGCTGTTTTAAAGCAATCAATCAGAAATAGCTCATTTTTTTTGGATTACTCACTCAAAGGGAGTAGTTCATTCTGCGACTGTGCCAAAAGGGAAGGGTACTGCCTGAGTTCCCTGTCTGAAAACAAAAGGAAACCTCATGTGAATCAGCATTAAAATGCGCAGCCGCCCAAACTTATAAAACAAGCACTGACTTATAGACATCATTTGAGAATTTGCTTTAAGCAATAATTTGCTCAAAATAAGAGCTCTGTCTGAATATATTTACGTTCATGTTGTTTTACAATAGCACGACTTCTGTGAAACGAAAAGGAAGATGGTTGGGATAATGTTAGTGCTGCTCACTTTTGAGTATTAATACTATATTTCTCCATTGGCTTAAGTATTTTTAAATATCTTCTTATATACACTCACCGGCCACTTTATTAGGTACACCTTACCAGAACAGGGTTGGACCCTTTAGAACGGCCTTAATCATTTGTGGCAAAGATTCAACAAAGGTACTGTAAATATTCCTGAGAGGTTTTGATCCATATTGACATGATAGCATCATGCAGTTGCGGCAGATTTATCGGCTGCACATCCATGAAATGAATCTCCTGTTTCACCACATCCCAAACGTGTTCTATTGGATTGATATCAGGTGACTGTGGAGGCCATTCGAGTAGATTGAACTCGGTGTCATGTTCAAGAAACTAGTCTGAGATAATTCACGCTACACGATTGTATGTTATTCTGCTGGAAGTAGCTATCAGAAGATGGGTAGTCATAATGGGATGGACATGGTCAGCAATAATATTTAGGTATGCTGTGGCATTAACACGATGCTCAACTGGTACTAATGGGCCCAAAGTGTGCCAAGAAAATATCCCCGACACCATTACACAACCACCACCACCACCAGCCTGAACTGTTGATGCAAAGCAGGATGCTTTCATGTTGTTGATGCCAAATTCTGACCCTACCATCCAAATGTCGCAGCAGAAATCGAGACTCATCAGACCACTCAATGTTTTTTCCCAATCTGCTATTGTACAATTTTGGTGAGCCTGTGCGAATTGTAGCCTCAGTTTCAGTTCTTAGCTGACAGGAGTGGCAACCTATGTGGTCTTCTGCTGCTGTAGCCCTTCCGCTTCAAGGTTCAACATGTTGTTCAGAGATGCTCTTCTGCATACCTCGCTTGTAACCCTCCGTTGTATCAAGTGGTTGTTTGAGTTGCTGTTGCCTGTCTATTAGCTGGAACCAGTCTGGCCATTTTCCTCCGACCTCTGGCATCAACAAGGTTTTTGTACCCACAGAACTGCCGCTCACTGGATTTTTTCTCTTTTTCAGACCATTCTCTGTAAACCCTAGAGATTGTTGTACATGAAAATCTCAGTAGATCAGCAGTTTCTGAAATACTCAGACCAGCCAATCTGGCACCAACAATCATGCCACTTTCAAAGTCACTTAAATCCCCTTTCTTCCCCATTCTAATGCTTTGATTGAACTGCAGCGTATCATCTTGACCATGTCTACTTGCCTAAATGCATTGAGTTGCTGCCATGTGATTGGCTGATAAGAAATTTGTGTTAACAAGCAGTTTTGAAAAATAATTAAAAAGTAAAAGTAAAAAGTAGAAAAAAGGAAAAAATTTGTTTTTATCTATTTGTTATAATAACACTTAAAAAACAGCCTGCAGAAACGCTTTGATTGACATTCTCCTGTTGTACATATGATCAGAGGAGGAAAGTCCTGCCCATTAGTGACTATCTCGCTGAAGCACAGGTGTTTGTATCTCCACCCTCTGCTAGGAGCACAATGTTATCTGAATTTAAAGCACCAAAACAGCACAATTTGGATCAAAGACTACAAGGGGTAGTTTCAAAGAGTTTAAAAATTTTCTGTGCGGTATTTTGAGCTGAAACTTCACATACACGCTCTAGGGATATCAAAGACCTCTTGTAAAAAGGGCTTTAGTAGGTCACTCTTATTGTTTGCCTGTACACTTTAATGTGGACCCTGATATCTAAGTTATTCATCTTCAGTCTTGGTTTGAAAGTATTATTGTTGTTGTTGTTTTTTGCAGGGCCCAGTGAAGCATGTGTATCGTGTTTTACAATGTCAAGAAGAGGAGCTCACGCAGATGGTTTCCACCATGTCAGACGGATGGAAGTTTGAACAGGTAGCTTTTCTTAATATCCTCATAAAATGTGGATCTGATGGCTGTTTTCAGTACAGATTCTTATTCTGGACATGCCATATTTTATTTTAGCATCTTTTTAACTCAGATAATATGTAGATCAGGGGTCACCAACATGGTGCCCGCGGGCACCAGGTAGCCCGCGAGGATCACATGTGTTGCCCGCCGGCCTGTTCTAAAAATAGCTCACCATAGCGCCACTTACCAGTAAGCTCCATCTAATATAGAAGTAATCATTTAAAAATGGTAATATTTGCAGAGATATATTAAAATAAAGTGTTGCACATTGATACATTAAATACAGGGAATTTCCTACCCTGTTAAATCATTGCTGAAATTTGTTATGTTAAGTCTAAACAGGCTGTTCTTATATTTCTTTTAAATAAAGGATGGTTTACTGATAAAAAGGTTTCTGTACGTGATGTTTTGGAGAAACCGAATATGTTTGAGACTTGCATCATCCACTGTTCTTGTTACTTATCTCTTTGCTGTGGAACAAACCTGACTCGACTTGTCTGTCTTCAGCTCATAAGCATCGGCTCCTCCTATAACTATGGCAACGAGGACCAGGCTGAATTCCTGTGCGTTGTTTCCCGGGAGCTCAACAACTCCACCAATGGAATTGTTATTGAGCCTACTGAGAAGGCTAAGGTATTAAACGTCTTTTTAAAAAAAAAAAAATTTTCTTTAGTTTAATACCATTACAGTACAAAGATAATGCCTAATAAATTATTACTACAGAAAGTAAAAAGGTATACAAGTTATTAAATAGGTCAACATGATGCAAATAATCATAAATATGATAATTGTTATTATTATAATGTTTTTTACATTCATACTAACATATAATCACAGCGTTTCCTTCAAAACTAGAAAATTTTATAATTGTAGTAAATTCCAATCTAATTGCATAATTGAGTACACCCCATCTTAAAAATAAATATGTTTTATCCATTTCTCAGTGAATGTAGGCAGTGTATTTTGGTGCATTTAAACCAAACAGATTTATTAAACAGATATATTTATTGAAATAATATTTTAGCCACCAAACATATTTAGAAATTGAAATATAATACAATTAAATTCAAGCAAAATATTGCAAAAAACAATAACCACCTACAAAATTTCAACTACATTTTTCAATTTGTTGCTTCTCCTTGATTTTTCCTCTTTTGTTTTTTTTTTAAAAAGTAATTTGTATTTAATATTTTTCTATGATATAAATTTAGGTGTGCTAGTTTTTGGACCGTTATCATGAGTTATTTTGTTAGATAAGCTCTAGATTTGGCTTCAGTACTGACTAATCTAATGTATATGCACAAAAAATAATACTGTATAGCTTCTGTATAGATTAAATTATCTGAATTTATAAGGTAGATTTGTTTGGGGTGTACTAATATATGCTGAGCACTGTATATTGATATCTCCAGTAAATGCTTTTTTTATGTTATGTTAATCTGTAAAAATAATTTGGGCTATATTTTTAAGCCAACAAAAATTATGTATTTTTACAGTGGTTGAACCACTTCAAGTGCTTGCTGTCTGCCACTTTTTACTGATTTTTTATTTTGGTTAATGTTTAGTGACTTGGTTGCTTAATTTCTGCATTCTTTTTTGTTAGGCAGTAGGTTCTATTTATGGAAAAGAAAGTTGGTTAAACAAATAGGTAGTTGATTTATAAAGTTCAGAATGGACTTTTCTGAGGTTCAGGGTTTTAAAATAAAATCAGTTGTTGACGTTGTGCTTGCCCCTTTGATTTTGCAATCATGGAGAAAATGTTGAAGTATTTATATTTATTGACTAATATATCTGCTATTAGCTTCCAAATCTAAAGAGTTGTCATATCAGAAATTCCCTATCAGTGCATCCCTAATTACTTTTATTACAGCAGTCCCTCACTATTACACAGTTGACTTTTCGTGGCCTCGCAGTTTCACAGATTTTTTTTGTGGGCAATTTGACATAGACTGTCATAGACTGTAGGCTGTAGACCATTGTCAATCAATCTCCTCCCTGTCTCCTGTACAGCTCAGAATGCTTTCAGCTTGCCAAATTAACATAGATCTTCAATCACGAGCAGTGTGATTTTCAACAGGAGTACAAAAAGGTTTGTACCTGTCTGCAGCAAGACCATCTTAAATTGGGTGATACATGCCTTTTAGAATTGTTAACATAGGTTTATATCAGGGTACGCACACCGCTGTCTGCGGTGCTCAGTTACGACTCAGGACACTGTTCATATTTCTGCCATGCCAAAGAGCACCATCTGAAAATTTTCATTTCAAATAACATGCGGATGTGCACCTCCGTTTTGTGTTTTATAACATTTTTTTGCAAAAAAGAATAAGTTTACAAATAATAACAGTAAAAAAATAAGAATAATTTGTACATTTTGACCAAATTATGCATCCATAAAAATAAACCTAAACCTAAAATAAACCTAAACCCTGATAAATAAAACATTTTCTTTTTATTGTCGTTTTAACATACAAAAAATCGACAACATCTATTTCTTTTAAATCATGGTATCTACAGGTATTTAAGTGTTATATTTAAGAGTTTTAAAGACCTTTTTAATTCCACAAAGAATTAAGTTTAAGACCAATTGTATAGTATTATTAATTTACAGTACCAACTTTGCAAAAAAGCACCCAACACAACTAAATAATTGATATTCGAACACTCTATTATGTATAGAAAGAGAAAAAAAAAAGAAAATGGGATGCAGCAGAATCACCAGTCAGGCCAGTCATGTGAAAAAACAGTCCGATTCCGGTCCCTGGTCAGTTGATCAATGCATTTCTAGTTCTTTATTTGCTAATGTATGGGTAAGCAAAATCTCTGCGAGTGTTTATTTTATTGGGTTCCGCCTATTTAGTTCTGGGTGAAAAATAGACAGAAAACAGAGAAATCTTTATGGGGTCATTTCTATTGCATTTTAAGACTTTTGAAACGCAGATTTAAGACTAATGAATGGCTCATACTTGTATTACTGAATTCAAGACTTTTTAAGGATCTGCAGTACATACTCTAAAAAAACTTAATATGTCCTAACTGCCATAACAGATGGAGGAGAGTTCATTTGTTTAAATGGTAGAGCTCATCAGTGTCCTCATGTTTCCTTCTCAGATCCTTCAAGAGAGAGGGTCCAGGATGTGAGGAGCCTGTCGCCTGAGCCCACACAGATCTCCCATCCCTCACCTCCTTTCCTTCAGATCCTCCATCAGCCCTCCACCCCTCACCTCACCCTGCCCTCCTCCCTCGTGCCTTTCCACTGTGGGGCGTCGGTCCCCCTCCTCCCTGCAGTGCTGCAGCATTAACCAATCAGCACCACCACTAACTATCACTGCTATTGCTGACTAATCAAAACAAAAGAGAAAACAACAACAATGTGTCCAGGGTTAAGCCTCAGACCATCACATTTGATGCAAGACTGCTCAGAGAGAGGATTACAGGGAAGGATCCATCATTCATCCTAATGCTTATTTATGCAGATTTCATCATCATCATTATCATCATCCTCATATCCCGATCATTATCATCATACAGCTGCTGGCTTTACACGTTGCCCCATTGGCTCGGCTGCGTCCATCAACTCCTCAGGACTTCCAAAATAGACTCGCATCTTCAGCTTCTCATTAACTTACACTGTAAATCATTATCAGCCGTCATTTCTGCATTCATTTCCCATTGGAAGATGGCGATACGGATAAAAACCTGAGACGACGGCTTTCGGAACGTGCTGATTTTTTGTTTTTGTCTTCGAAGTGGCATGTTTGTTTCGTTAACTACCCATTTACCCATCTGGAAAGGACCAGGGGAGAAGGGAGAACTCATACTGCCAATAGTCTGCGTGTCTATCGCTGTGAAGATTTGTCTCACATTTCCCATTTGCTACGGTTGACTTTTTGTCATCCTGGATTTTGGTTTTGTTTTGCCTCGTCTCTGTGGATATTACAAAAGCATCAACACACAGGATATAAAAAAGAAGAAATATGTGGTTTTAGGGCATGTGAGGATTATGTATATTACAAACATATGTATTACGAAGAGGCCGAATGCAAATCTTGTAATTGTTGATATCTGTACCATAGTGGTCGTTTTTTTTTTTGAGTGTGTGTGTGTGAGCTTGTTTATCGAGATTTGATTTGGGGGGAGGTTCTAAATCGAACCTTGAAGATCTTTTTTTTCTTTCTTTAAAGCCTGGTTGCCAACATGTGAAATGGTTTGTTTTACCTTTGAACTCTTTGTCGATGACTGGAAATAAGCAGGAGGCTTCTAGTGTTAGCGGTATCATAGTCCAGGTGCTTCGGGAGACTGTTGATGGACAAAGTGGCCTCAAGTTTTGAGTCAGGGCAAAACTGCATTAGTGGCTCTTTGTTGCATCTTTTTTTTTTTTTTTTTTTGCACTTGTCTGACAAGTTTAAATTCAGATATAGCTCTCCCCATAACAGTTTGGCTATTGAAATGTTTAAATTTTCTGTTTTTGGTTTAAACAAAGTCTGATAACATCAGCAGAATGTTTATGAATGTAAAGGGCTGCATTTGTTGTGGAACGTTCTTGACTTTTTTTTTATCTGATATGTTTAACATTGAAGCCTCATCTTTGAAGGCTTTGGTTGCCCTCGTTGTTTAAAGAGTTGGTTCGCCTCAAAATGAAAATATTCCATAAGACTTCATCTTAAAAACACAAATGAAGTATTTTTCAATAAGAGAAATTTTTATCAAATGCAAATGAAAGTTTATTTGTTGATTAAAACATAAAACTAGGTATTAAATCAACCAGTTGATTTGAATAGATGCACACAGTCACTTATTTGATAATCAAATATTAAATAGGCTTTCATTTACGTTTTTATATTGAACAGCAAACATAAACAGAAGCTAAACTGTACCCGCTTGATGTAAATCTCATCTTTTTTTAAGATCCTTGAATAAACCACGACTGAAGATTGAACCTGATTGGTTCTCAAGCATCAGGCAAGCTTCCTAAAAGGTGAATTCTGGAAACATTCATTAATAATCAATGTTAATATGTAAATTAAGATTTTTCCTTAAGGCTTTATTCATCTCAATACAAATGAAGATTTTTTTTCAATATGAGACAAATATTGACATTCAGCCAAAACTTGAAGATTTCAAAATGTATTTTAAAGAGATCAAAACATAAAAAGTAATAGAAATCAACCGGTTGATTTACATAGATGCACACAGTCACTTGTTTGATAATCAAATGTTAAATAGGCTTATTATTTACATTTTGTTCATTTACATTATTTATTATGTACATTTTTTTATTGAACCGCAAACATAAACAGAAGCTAAATCACAAGCATCCTGAAATTTGAATTTTTAAACATTCCTAAATAATCAATGTTAATATGTAATTCAACATTTTACCTTTAGACTTCCTTCATCTCAACAACACAATTAATGATTTTGTTTTAATATGAGACATTTCTCTCCATTTATTGACATTTGTCCAAAATTTGAAAATTTCAAAATGTAATCTAAAGAAATCAAAACAAAAAATTGAATTTAAATCAACTAGTCGATTTGAATAGATGCACACAATCATTTATTTGATGATCATAGAAGAAATAGGCTTTAATTGACATTGTTATATTGAACAGCAAACATAAACAGAAGCTAAACCATATATAATAGTTTTTAGGAGTTTGAATATGCCACGACACAAGAATGAACCCTTATTGGTTCTCATGCATCAAGCAAGCATTCCAAAAAGGTGATTTCTGGAAGCATTCATTAACGATCAATAGTAATATGTAAATAAAATTCAATCTTCATCAAATAAAGTCATTATATCTCTTCAGAATAAAGTGAATCAAGCATTGATTGATTTTTTTGAAATATCTATAAACCTTTTGAAGTTTTGTGAGAGGATTTTCAATCGAGAGACAAAAATTTCTCAGGTTAGAAAAAAAATCTTCATTTGTGTTTCGATGGTCAATTTTCTTGTATTCAGACGTTTTGTTTTTTGCGACGTGAGTTTCATTTTAGAGGTGAACTTTCCCTTTAATTTGTGTTTATTTTTGATAAATTCGTTGTGGTTTCTCTGAATCTACTGTGACTACATTGCGAATTGTCAGTATTTGAACGGTAATCCAGGCTCTATTTTGATTATTCATATCTGTTTATAAACTGTTGTTGAATCTAGGGGTCAGTCTAAGATGGCATCATGTAAATGGACGTTTTTATGGTCCGCAGTGTTTCAAAGTGTTGTCTGTTCCTCTCTTTATCGCATTAAACTCACGTCCTTTAGTTGATCATATCAAGAAGACGATGTACTTGAGTTTGTGAGCTACAGTATAATCTGTTTAAATGGTCGTTGGCTTTTCTGTTTCTTTGTTTGTGTTAATGTTTTCCCCCTCCTGGAGAGAGTTTATTTGTTCAAGCCCACTTATTAGTCACCGAAGCTCCTGTAATGGGACCTTGGCCCTCTCACAGGATCCTGTTTGTACTTTCCCTTTGTTCAGATAGCTTTCAGGTCCACTTCCAACGCAGAATATTGGAATTAGTTCCAGGTGGCAGCGTTAAAGTCTCTCTCTCCGTCCCAATTTGTTTGTCTGGTGTTGTGCCTTTGACCCGTCGTGCCCTACTGTACGTGTCTTCGCTCCTAGATTACTCTTTTATGAATACAGACGGTTGAGAAATACTTGTTTTGACTAAATCAGTTCTGTTCCTTGACACAGATACTGAATGTGCCCGTTTCCCCCTGAGATTGTTATTGTTCTTGTTTTCAGTGGTTCATCCCTATTTCGCTTTTCCACTCCTGCCCCTAAGCACTTTTAAGTTTGCGCCTACCTGCATTGTAATTCACACTGTGTTTGTTCTATTTTTAGAGTCAAACCCCATGTGAGGCAAACGAAAAAGCCATGCGCAGTCTCAAGTTTTATATAAGACGGTTTAGGAAACTGATACGGACGTCACATTGACTGCTGATGCTTTCCAGCACGTGAGACTGTGGGAATTTAGTTTGTCTCCTTATACTTTTAGAAATACGCCATTCTTCTTTAGGTTTCGTGTGGTTTAGGATCTAATGAAAATGATATATGGATTTAAAAAAAAAAAAAGATATTTTCTTCGTGAAAAGATCTATATATATATATATATGGTGTTCAGAAAAACGATGAAGTTGGTGGTTTGGAATGCCAACTCGGAAGCATGCGAAATGTGTTAAGTATATATAATGTTATATGCTGGGATGTTGTCATATTATAAAGGTGATCCGGTGCATGGACAGTTGACAGATGGTATATCGATATCATAAAATCTGGCCCTGTTTTAACTGTTTGGAAGAAATCAATAAAATCAAATTCAGTATTACTGGAAAAACTTGTTTGCTGAGGGAAAATATGCTTACACAACACCCCATGTATTCGATAAAAATATAGCTTTCAAGCTGGCCAAAAGTGCAGACCTCTGTCGTAACGTCTTCAGATTAAAGCTAAAAACAAGGTCCATTTTTAACAGTTGTTGTTTATTTTCTGCCATAATAGTTAGTCTACAACACCTGCATGCTTTAATATACAGTACACATACATTTTAACGTGCTGAAACCTGCTCTTTCATCAGATGTTTTGGGTGTATTGTCAACAGTATTGATGTAAAGTGTCAAATATGTCACTAGGCTATGGAGATTGTTAAGCTAAGTGTTCTGGAAATGAATAGTCTTGATCAGACTGTCCTTTTCATTTCTTTTTTATTTCATTTTTGAAGTTTGATGCAGTTTCTTGCAATGTACAGATTGCAAAATGATAATGTATGAATTTTATCATAAAATGTGTTTGTGTTTCAGACTTGTGTGCTCATTTTTTTAAATGTTTATATGTATTATGTTTTTAAAAATCTGTTCATTTTCTTTTTGCACTCACAAACAGGATTACAAATTTATTTATATATATTTTTGTATTATTCCTAAATTACTTACAGTGTTGGGTAATTAGCCATACCAGGAAACTTTTAAAAATCCCTGATATTTCATTATGGGAATCCTGTAATCACATTCATAGCATTGAAATTAAATTGTACTTTTGTGGTGTAATTTCATGGACCACAAAAGAGAAGTTTGGCAGAATGTCATCATACATTGGCATCCCACATGCAGATTTCCATGAAGAAAGTGATGTTATTGTTATGCAAGTTGTTATGTAGCCAGATAACCACATGTTATCTGGGTAAAAAACCCTCTTCATTCAAAGTGATCTAAAATGATGTAGATTTTCTTTACTTATACTGTAAATATTTACTGTAAATATGATTGTGCTTGTTAAGAAAGAATTTAAATGATCACAGTGTGTTTTATATTTAGTATTGGGAATATAATTGTTGAGCATTTCACAATGTGT